GGCCAGGCTGGCACAATTAACTAACTCAGTCTATTTTTTTAATTCTTTCAAAGAACCAGCTTTTTTTCTTGTTGCTTTTTCCCATTGTTTTTGTTTTGTTTTCCATAGAGTTTATTTCTGCTTTGGTCCTAATAATTTATTTTCTTCTTTCATGGGTGGGTTTTTATTGTTGTCCTTGTTCCAGTTCTTAAAGGTCTTTTGTTCGGGTGTTGATTATGGATGTCTCCTCTCTTAACTTGAGTGTGTGTGCATGTGTGTGCGTGTGTGTTGATTGCTATAAATTGGCCTCTGATTCCTGCTTTTGCTGCTTCCCAAAGGTTGTGATAATTTGTGTTACTCTTCTTGTTTGTCTCAACGAATTTTTCCCCCTTCATTTGCTTAACTACTCAGTAATTTTTGAGTATTATGTTGTTCAATATTTATATATTTGTCTTTTTGCTTCTGTTTGTTTTATTGTTGAATTCTAATTTTATAATATTTTTGTCTGAAAAGATAGGTTGTAGAACCTCAATTTTATTTTATTTAAAAAAAATCATTTTATTGATGGTTCTTACCTGTGGCGCCACGGCTGCCGGTGCCTCCTGTGCAGGTAGCCGCCGCCCCCGCTTCGGCGCAGTCCCGGCTCCCGTGCGCGCCGCGTTGCCCTGGCCCTGGAGGCCGGGGTATGGGCCAGGGGCGCGGGGCAAGGCGGCTTCTCACGAGGTGGCGACCAGCACCGGCTTCGGCATGAAGACCCTCATCGCCGCCTACTCCGGGGTCCTGCGAGGTGAGTGTCGGACCGGAGTGAGAGCCCCGATGGAGGCGCTGGGCTATCACGTGAAGAAGGGTGGGCTGCCCCCTCCCGCCCCCCCCCGAGGAGGGGTCCGCCAGGCCGCGGGGACTTTGCGCCTGGGATTGTGAAACCGGACGGAGGCTTTAGGGAAGAGCTCTGAGGCGGGCTGTGGGGAGGGCGCGTTGCTGGCCGCGCTGCAGGTACAGGTCCCTTCTCCTTCCTCCTTTTTGGGAGGGGGGGCGCTTGCACCCCCACCCTCCCCTCAGGTCATCTGGCTCGGAGGGGAGGGGAGAGGACTCGTCGCCTCGTCTGCGCCAGGCAGCCTGGTTCTGGGATCACGGCGCGCGTCTAGCCACCTACCCCTCTGCCACGCTGCCGCCGTCCGCCCAGCATGTGGCCCTCCTCGGAGGGGTGGGAGTGAGACCACCGCCTCACCCTTGGTGGTTCCTCCCACCCCACCCCGGCACTTCCCTCGCAGCTCTCCCGGCCTCTAGGTGCAAGCGTCGGCGGTGTGCGACTGGATCAGGCAACGTGACCTGGGTTGGCAGCCCCCCTGCAACCGCCACCACGTAGGACCGGACCCCCTGGCTGGCTGGACATGTGGGCCCAAGTGTCCCCTGTCCACCCTCTGTGTGTACTCTGAAGCAGGCCTTTCCTCTGTGCACCCTGCCGCTGTCCCAGCCCAGGGCTGCTCCCCCCTCTCCCCCAGCTCCCCACTCCACCTCCCTCCTACTCAGAGGTGGGGACAGACCCTGGGGGTCCTGGGTGACTGGGGGGGGGGGGGGCAGAGTTTAGACACCACAGCTTTTTCCACTCAAAGAAAGGCAATTCTTTCATGGGTTCTGCCCAGTCAGGGATTCCCCCTCCCCAGTTGGTGTTGGAGAAACTGAGAGGGCATGACTTATTCCCCCAGTGTCCTGCAAAGCTGCGTCGCTGTTGGGGGTGTTCAGTACCGACCTGGACCCTCCTGGGGGTGGCAAAAGCTAGTCTGGCCTGTGTGCCTGGTTCTTTCAAAAAGTAGGTGCTCTGCCTGCTGAACTTCTCCTACTTAGGGCTTTTCTTTAGGAATAGTTACCTGCTGCCTTCCTGTTTTAACATGTTAACCTTTGAAAAAATAGGGACAAACAGGAAATTAAAATTGCTGGTAAAGTGCTGAGAGTGGTGATACTGAGAGAGTCGAGTGGAAAGGGGGAACCGATTACAAGGATGTACATATAACCTCCTCCCTGGGGGACAGACAACAGAAAAGTAGGTGAAGGGAGACATCGGACAGTGTAAGATGTGACAAAATAATAATAATTTCTAAATTATCAAGAGTTCATGAGGAAGGGGGAAGCGGGGAGGGAGGGGAAAATGAGCTGATACCAAGAGCTCAAGCAGAAAGCAAATGTCATGAGAAGGATGATGGCAGCAAATGTACAAATGTGCTTGACACAGTGGATGGATGTATGGATTGTGATAAGAGTTGTATGAGCCCCCAATAAAATGATTTTTAAAATTGCTGGTAAGTCGACTGCCCAAAGATACTTTCCTGTTGCCGTGTTAGCTACATTTCATTATAATTTTATTTATATATGTTGTGTAGACAGCGAGCGTGCTGTAGGTAATAGTTCTGAATTGCTTTTCCTGTCACTTAATATTAAATAACAAATAACAAGTATTAAATAACAAGGAAAACCCAAACCGACGAAGTCAATGTCGATGCAGACTCATAGTGAGCCTTAAGACAAGAAGAACGGCTCTGTAGAAATCCATGCATTTCCTTAAGGCCCTGGAAAGTCATGCATGGCATTCTGGTGCTGGCAAGATGGCCCACCCTGAAGCCGCGTCACCGTTTAACTGGGCCTTGGACACTGACATGCCTCCCTCTTGGGACTTTGACTGTGGTGCCAGGGCCTCATCCGCCCCCTCAGTCTGGGTGCTGCTTCCTGGGCTTGGAGAGGGTCTGAGCTGTTCACCGCTGCGCTGCCCTGGGCATCCTGCCCCATAACTTCCTCTGACCATCCCTTCTCTCACTTGGAGGGCACTTTTTCATTCTCACGTCGATGTCTCTATACCGGGAACAAAGATGCTTGTCCAAATCTCTGTCTCCAGGTAATGGGGCAGAGTGCTCTCTGGTGTGTCTTCCTGGAACCACCCACTCGTTTGGCTCTCTTCTCCCCACTCTGAGCTGCGTCTTCTAGGAGCCAGGAACCCCAGATCTCAAATTTTTGATCTAGAGCAACGGTTCTCAACCTGTGAGTCGCAACCCCTTTGGGGGTCAACAACCTTTTCACAGGGGTCGCCCGATTCATAACAGTAGCAAAATGACAGTGATAAAGTAGCAATGAAAATAATTTTATGGTTGGGGGGGGGTCACCACAATATGAGGAACTGCATTAAAGGGTCGTGGCATTAGGACGGTTGAGAACCACTGATCTAGAGTTTGTTGCTTAGAGAAAGACTTCTAGGGAATCGTTTTGGGCAAATTGTTTAATATATCACTTCCTCATGCTATTGTCAAATCCAGAACACATAATTATTATTCTATTTTTGTTAACTGCCAGGAATTCCGTCATGAATGATTATGATTATATTTTATTGACTGCAAGGAATTCCTCCATGAGATGTAGCAAGGGCTGGTATGAAAGGCAAACCAGTCAGGTTAGCTAGCCTGACATCTGCTTTGCTGAGACTGGGTGGGGTGGTAGGGGAGGGTGCTGAAGCAAATTTTGTTATCTGGGCATCTCTATAGACCTGCTTTCTATATCCTTGGTCCTTGACATTTCCCAGTGGCCTAGTTTGCCTCTGCGAACAAGGTCCCCCTGCTGTCAGGTGGTGAGCATCCTGTCAGTGGAGGCATTCAAGGAGAGAACATGGATTCTGGGAAGGGCCGTCCTGTGCCGGGTGAGAGATTGAAATAGTCCTAGATACCTTGGTGTCTGGTTTGTCGGGGAGCACGGTAGGGTGGGTAGGTGTGTTTGGTGGAGAGGAACTCCAGTTGCTAATTTCTCACCTCCAAAGTACTGCTGCGTGTTGAGGCTGCAGACTTGGCCGAATTTACATCCTTGCCTTTGCCCCTGGGCAGGGGACTTTCCCAGTCAGAGCTCCCTGATGCCTGCCATATCCCAAGTGTTGAGTACAGGACACTGCAATAACTTCAGTGTAGTCCTGAGTGGATTTACTTTGTGGAGTTCTCAAGGGTCACTATGAGTCAGTGTGGACTGGACCGTTGGGGACAGAGAGTAAGAAAAGGGGAACGATTGTGAACAGAGGTGGGGTCTACAATAGGGTGGGGAGGGGGTTGAATGAGGAGCAGGTTTTGATATACTGGAGGAATCCTTTCTGCTAGCTGCTGACGACTGCAGCCCATTGGGGTGGGTGAGCATGGAGTCCCCCATCGCTGGGGTGTGTGCAAGCAGGCGCTTGGGAGAAGCTGAGGCTAAGGAGCTAGATTGCTGGGACTGGCTCTAGAATTGAAGGTTGGCTGTCACCTAACCCCACCCTCCATCACAGGGTAAGAGTATCATTTATATCCTCTCTTCCCTCTGTACTGCTCCCAAACTGCACAGAGACCAAAACAGGGATTATCTGTTCATCCAAGAACTCCTCTGAGCTGGGAAAAGAAGGCTTCAAAATAATACTGGATACTAGAAGGAATGCACTAAAAAGTCAGTGAATGAACCCAAGGTGTGACGTTGTGATGATGTGACAATAGGACATGAGTGTTGATCTGAGAGAAGAGAGTCAACCTGTTGGAATAATTTTATTAGCAACCAGATTACTTAATGGCCTGTGTGGAAATCCTGCCCCACCCCCTCCACCCATTTGTCCCACAGCCTGTGCCTCACTGCTGTTGGTGTTACCTGGTGCAATAGCCCCCTCCCATACCAGACTATCCAGAATCCTTCGTAATGTGGATTATCAGTTTTAGTCATGGAGTATGATATGTGATAGAGTGAGAGATTGTCTGTGTGTTGTTTCTTAGATTTTACAGATACTAACAACAGAATTCTTCTGTAAGATCTCTCCCCGTTGAATTATAACAATATTAGTTACAACATGGTTAGTCACCTAAGCCTTTTTGATTAAAGCCCCCCCCGTCCCTTTAATTACTTGTTCACTCTCAAAGTTAACGGATAGGCTCACAAATACTAAATGCCACACTATTGTGACTGAAACATCAGGACATTTGGCATGATTGGTGGCTGTGAGAACCCTGGCAAGAACTGAAAGAGCAGTGCAAGCTGGTGGCCTATGCTGTGGAACCGTGTGTGTCACTTTTTGGGGGTGATGACAATTATGACCAAGCGCGTTGGAAGATTCACAAAGAAAATCAGCTTGCAGACAGTTTTAGCCTTGCAGGTACATGGACACATTTAAGGTGGACTGATGAAAAAAACTGTTTTTGTTATGATCACTAACTATAAAACCCCAAACCAACCTCCCAGCCATGGAGTCAGTCCTGACTCACAGCAACCCTGTAGGTCTGGGTAGCACTGCCCCTGTGAGTTCCGAGACTGCAGCTCCTTTGTTTGTTGACATGAACTTGTTTGTCACCAAAGACTCCCAAGTCCATTTCAGTTTGACTTTTCCTCCTTTTCTTTTAGGTTCGATGGATAAGGAATCTAGAGGGATTTCTTTCTTTCTTTCTTAAAGAAACACACGGTATATATTTATACAGCCTATCTCAAGACATGAAATCAACAACAATCTTCTGTTAAACCCTTCATGTCATTCTCTTTCCCCCTCTGCCGCGCCCCCCACCATCCTTTTCCCCTCATTTTATGGGAGTAGAGAACCCCGTCTTTCTCCCAGTATTAACTGTAGGAGTGTTTTTAATAAAAGCTGAAACACTGCACACAAATGTTACAGATAGCCATTTTGGTGTCACGCCGTGTCACCCGATTTGGTCTGTGCCCCTTACAGCTTTCTAAGGATACCACTGCTGCAGCAGGTGCTCGAGCCCTAAGTCATACACATGCCTGCTCGCTCCCCTCGTGCTGTGCAGATGG